TTTCTTTCTTTCTTTCCTTTCTTTTCTTTCTTTTCTTTTCTTTTCTTTTCTTTTCTTTTCTTTCTTTTCTTTCTTTTCTTTTCTTTCTTTTCTTTTCTTTCTTTTCTTTTCTTTCTTTTCTTTTCTTTCTTTCTTTCTTTTTTGTTTTGTACCTGGGATTGAAATTGGGGGCAATCGTGAGCTGCATCCCCAGATCCTATTTTGTATTTTATTTATAGACAGGGTCTCACAACATTGCCTAGGACCTCACTAAGTTGCTGAGGTTGGCTTTGAACTTGTGATACTCCTGCGTCAGCCTCTTGAGACACTGAGATTACAGGCATGTGCCAGTGTGCCTGGTTTTTTCTTTGTATTCTTAAAGTTTGGAGTCCAAATAGGAGGGCTGGGGATGTGGCTCACTGGTAAAAGTGCTTGCCTGGCTTTCATGAGTCCCTGGGTTCAAATCCCCAAGCACCCCCCCCCTCGCGCCAAAAAAAAAAAAAAAAGAATTTACTAAGTAGGCACACAAATGAAGGATGAGTCTGGATAAAGCATGGCTTCTTCCATCATTGGAATCACTACTATCATAAGCATTATCTTCAAAGAGCTCTGGCTTACCTGTCTTTTCTATCCAAATCTGTGTTTTGTTTGGCTGGGATCCTCAACCATATTCTAGAAGTAAAATTGCCCTGGATCCTGTTAAGAGTTAATGGGACTTGTGGTCTTCCATGGGTTTGACCACCTTTTCTCAGTCATGATTGTAACCAAGGTTATTCACAATCTGCATGAGTTACTTTTGGTGACTTCATATCCCCAGCCACGAGACCCCCTTTTCCTTCATCCACTGACCTTCCATTCTTGCAGCTCAATCTGCCCCTTCCTCTCTAAGCTCCCAACAAAATGGATTCTTTCACCAGCTTGTTCAGAACTCAATTTTCTTTTTTCCCTTTGTACTGGGGATTGAAACCACAGACACTTTACCACTAAGATACAGCCTCAGCTCTTTATTTTTTGAGAAAGGGTCTCACTGGGTTATGTTAGCTGACTTTGAACTTGTGATCCTCCTGCCTCAGCCTCCTGAGACTCCTAAGAACTGCTGGGCGTGGTGGTGCATGCCTGTAATTGCTGCTGCTCTGGAGGCTAAGGCAGGAAGATTGTGAGTTCAAAGTCAGCCTCAGCAACTTAGTGAGGCCCTAAGCAATTTAGCGAGACCTTGTGTCTAAATGAGGTATAAAAGGGCTGGCGATGTGGCTCGGGGTGGTTAAGCACCCCTGGGGTCAATCCCCGGTAAAAATTAAAACAAACTAAAGGAACCTACTAAAGATTTCTGTGTGTATTTTATTCTACTATCTAAGATTTGCTAGGATTGTGCTGCTAAAAAGCAGCCTCCACCATCATCTTTAAAATTTTGCACTGATTTCTAGTGATTGATTCATGTACTTATCACCCCGCCATCCCGGGGACCCGTGGACATCATCCCTCTGTATATTAAGGTGCCAAAAAGGAGTGGTTGGAACTCAAAGGGTGGAGCCTCCGTCCTCGTACCGGAAACTACTGTCCCTCAGTGCGCCTGCGAGACTCCCACGCCCTGTTCCTATCGATTCGCTCAGTGCTCAGCAGCTCTTTCTGTTAGCAGGCGGCCATCTTGCCTAGAGCCTGAGAAAGGGAGAAGAGAGACAGAAGGAACGGGTGACAGTGGTCTCAGGGCCGCCCCGGGGGCCTCAAGAGCCGGAGGCAGCCCCGGAGGTGGTCCTGGATCCTGGGCTATGCTCTTGGACCCGAGAAGGGAAGGCGGAGGGCGGCGGGGTCAAGATGGGTGGGGAATGTCAAACAAGAACTGCTAGGCGGGGGAGGGGCGTTGCTATGGCGACTGGGGAGGGGCGGGGTCAGGTCTGAATTGCTGCTGTGAGTCACCCCGGCGCTGCCCAGGAAGGGCAGGGTTGGGGTAATGACCATGGTAACAGCCCTGTGGGGTTTTGCGACGTCCCTGGCGTGGAGGGAATTCGTGTCTATGGCAACAGCCACCTGGCAGAACGGGCGGAACTAGATCCCTTCGCCTGGGACGCTGACATTCCAAGCCCTTATCCTGCAGGCTCCCGCGGGCGGACAAGCCAGAGGAGGAGGCCGGGGAATGGCCGCGGTGTGGCAGCAAGTCTTAGCAGTGGACGCGAGGTGAGGCGTGGGGTCGGAGCCCATGGGAGCGGAACTTACTATGGTGCATGCGCAATGGCGATAAGTGAGGCTGGGCGGAGAACTTGCCTTATGCGGCTGCGTGGGCATGCCGGAGGTGAGCATGCGCAGTAGCAGACGTGGGGGAGCTCCAGAAGTGAGATGACCGGGCCTGAGAGAGTTCTAAACAGCATGCAGGGAAAATGTGGTCAAATATGGGCATGCGCAAAGAGGCTACGGGTGTGGGGTGGGGGCGGTGGACCTCAGGTTGGTGACTTCTTAGCACTACCATTGCCCCCTCCACCCCATAGACTTTTCCATGCTCACTGAATGTGATCCCATATCCACACCACACTAACCGCTACCGTTGCCTCACACTAATCATTGTCATGCCAGTCTGACTTCTATCACCAATGCTAGACTGATCCCTGTTCCTGTTTGTGTGACTCATTCCCCCCATACCACCCCAACAGAGCTGCAGAATGTGTTGTCCTCACACTGACCTCATCACCATGCCAGTCATTCCTGCAGAATCACCCCTATCACAGACCAGGAGGAAACCCCCCATCAACACCATTGATCACTCTTGCCACCCTGACCTCAATCACTGCCACATACCTCATTCGCGGCCCTATGTCCCAAGCTGATTGATTCCCTTTGTCCTGTGCCTGCTGCCTGCCTGCATCCTGACCCCGCAGGTACAACGCGTACCGCACACCAACGTTTCCACAGTTTCGGACCCAATATATCCGTCGGCGCAGCCAGCTGCTGCGGGAGAATGCCAAGGCTGGGCACCCCCCAGCACTGCGTCGGCAGTACCTGAGGCTGCGGGGCCAGCTGTTGGGCCAGCGTTACGGGCCCCTCTCTGAACCAGGCAGTGCACGTGCCTATAGCAACAGCATCGTCCGCAGCAGCCGCACAACCCTTGACCGCATGGAGGTGAGCCCTGGTCACTACCTATCATGCATCTCCCTTGCCTCCACTACATTCACCACAGACACTTGTCAAGCACTGATATGTTCAAGGCACTCTTCCAGAATCTTAGGGTCAGCAGAAGATAAAAAGAGATAATATACCAGTTTAGCCAATAAATACACAATAAACTTGATAAACAGGTTATAAACAAGATAAACATGTCAATAAACATAGCAAGTCAGATAAATAAGTCCACAATTACCATGGTGAGAGTAAGAAGTGCTAAGATAGAAAAATAAAACATTCTTAAGGGATTAACAAAGGACTACTGTGTGGGTGGGGTGTAGCTCAATGGTAGAGCACATGGATGAGGCTCTGGGTTCAATACCCAGTACTGGAAAAAAAGGGGACTTGAATGTTTGATGGGGGTGATCAGGGAAGCCTGCTTTACTTCAAGAAGGTGACAACTGAGACCTGAATGAAATGAGAGACTGAGCTAACTGGTTTTCTTGGGGAAGAGTACTTATTCTTTGTGCAAAGAACACATATTGTGCATGTGCTGAGCAGAGTGGGGTAGAAACAGGAACAAGTGAAGAAGCCATGCAAATGAGCTATGATTGTGGTGGTGGGGGATGTGTGTGATGAGAAGGGGTCAGGTTCTAGATATATTTTGAAGGCTCCAGACCTCAGAGGTTCTCTAGGGCTGTTTTTAAGATATACACCTTAATCTTCTCTGTCTGCAGGACTTTGAGGACGATCCTCGAGCCCTGGGGGCCCGAGGGCACCGCCGTTCTGTCAGCCGTGGCTCCTATCAGCTGCAGGCACAGATGAACCGTGCTGTCTATGAGGACAGGTATGCACTGGGGGAAGCTGAGTGATGGACATTGTTTTTCATTTTTTGGGTTTTGTTTTGTTTTTTTTTTTTTTTTTGTATCAGAGATTGAACTCACGGGTGCCTAACCACTAAGCCACATCCCCAGGCCTTTTTATATTTTTATTTTGAGACAGGGTCTCATTAAGTTTCTTAGGGCCTTGCTAAATTGCTGAGGCTGGCTTTGAACTTGAGATCCTCCTTCCTTAGCCTCCCAAGTTGCTGGGATTACAGGTGTGTGCCACTGTGCCTGGCTGGGATGGGCATTCTTGAGGAAGAGAGGGGCCCTGGGGCATGGCAGGCCGAACACCCACACCTACCTCCTGTCACCCTCCTCCCCATTTCCTTTTGGGGCTAAGGCCTCCTGGCAGCGTGGTGCCCACATCAGCAGCAGAGGCAAGTCGGGCCATGGCTGGGGACACATCGCTGAGCGAGAACTATGCCTTTGCAGGCATGTACCATGTTTTTGACCAGCATGTGGATGAGGCAGGTGAGTCAGAATATGGGGTCCCATCACCAATATTTGTCCAATCATCCATCCAAGGTATCCTTTTCCAGAATGTAAGGCCTCTGACATGCCTCTCAAGGAGGAATTACCATCCATAAAGCCTTTTACAAACTCAAAAGCCCTCTCCAAAGTGGTCTGCAAAGTCTTGGTACTTTATATACTGTAAAAGGTCTCAGAAACTCAAGAGAGCACTTTGCAGGAGGCTGCCTGGGTTCATGAGTCACTGGGAAGAATTCAAAGCCTTTGCTGATGGTGAATTCCCTTGCAGAGAGCAGAGTAGGCTATGCAGTGTCAGGTTTTGCAAACTGCTGACACCTGGATGATTGCAAAGTGCTCGCTAAGACAGTAGGAGCTTTTTCACATTGCAGAAGACTTGAAATCTGCAAAGTACCTACTGAAATTTAGGGAGCATTTTGGCAGAGGTTACAACTGTCTTTGTCAGCCAAGGAAAGCCCTTTGCTGAGGTCACCATTCCTTGTGCAATGGGGTCCCAGTCCTCTGTACACATGTCGGAGCCTTTTATAAACAAAAGTGCCCAGCAAGTGTGCTGATTCCCACAAATGGCTCCTTGGCATTGCAGTCCCAAGGGTGCGCTTCGCCAATGACGACCGGCACCGCCTGGCTTGCTGCTCACTCGACGGCAGCATCTCCCTGTGCCAGCTGGTGCCTGCCCCACCTACTGTGCTCCGCGTGCTGAGGGGCCACACCCGTGGTGTCTCCGACTTTGCCTGGTCCCTCTCCAATGACATCCTCGTGTCCACCTCGCTGGATGCCACCATGCGCATCTGGGCTTCCGAGGACGGCCGCTGCATTCGGGAGATCCCTGACCCTGATGGCGCCGAACTGCTCTGCTGCACCTTCCAGCCCGTCAACAACAACCTCACTGTGGTCAGGCTCCAGGGCACCTGCTTACAAAGGGCAGGCATGCTGGGTCTGAGGGCTATCCATAGGCATCAGAATATAAAGTCTAGGATCCCTCCCTAGTCCTGTCACAGCATCCTTACTGTGGTCAGACTCAAAGGGAAACCTGCCAGAGAATGGGAAGCACAGTTCTTGGTCTGAGATGGCCTTGCTGAGGTAGACTCTAGGGGGTGGGGCTGGAGGTGTAGTCATGATTCTGGGACCCCTTTGGTCCCACTGCTCAAAGTCCTAGTTTTCCACCTGCATGGGGCTCTGGAGAACAGGGTGTTGAGGCTGAAATTTCATCTAGTCTCTCAGTGGTGGCCCCACTGTGGTCAGACTCCAGAACAGATTGGTCAGAGGGTAGGGGGAAGTACATGAAAAGTCTGACGTGACCTGGGGGTGGAGGTGTCAAGTACAGGAAACTGTCCAAGAGTGAGCTGTGGTTTGAGGATGTTTCTTGTTTCAGCGGGAGCAGCCTCTCAGTCTCCAGGAAGGAGCAGTCAGGGCACAGGGGAAAGCTGTTATGTTACTGTAGGCCTGGGAAAGCCCTGTGGTTTTTAGACTGGCCAAGGGTCAGCATTATTGCCATGACCCCTTTAGTACCATGAGCAGCTGTTCTACTGTGGGCAAATTGCCAGAGAGACTAGCAAGAGAGCAAAGGGACATGACTGAGTCACCTTCTGCTCTACCCACTGTACCTCCCCTCTGGTCAAACTCAAGAAGAGACCGTTGGGGCACAGGATGCTGTGTTCATTCTACCCACAGGTGGGGAATGCCAAGCACAATGTGCATGTCATGAACATCTCCACTGGCAAGAAAGTGAAAGGTGGCACCAGCAAGCTGACAGGACGTGTTCTTGCTCTGTCCTTTGATGCCCCTGGCAGGCTGCTCTGGGCGGGTGATGACCGTGGCAGTGTCTTCTCCTTCCTCTTTGACATGGCCACAGGTAGGCAGGCCATAGACCTGCATCTGGGTGCTCTGCCTCTTATCCATACAGGGCTCAGCCTTCACCTTCACCTTTGCCTCCCCTGCCTCCACTGCTGTAGGAAAGCTGACCAAAGCCAAGCGGCTGGTGGTGCATGAGGGCAGCCCTGTGACCAGCATCTCTGCCCGTTCTTGGGTCAGCCGTGAGGCCCGGGACCCCTCGCTGCTCATCAATGCTTGCCTCAACAAGCTGCTACTTTACAGGTGTGTCCCTACCCCCATCAGGTTCACCTCAGGGGGGCAGGGCAGGAAGGCCTTCCTCCTCCATCAGACTGGGAGAGGAGCCTATCTCCCTCATCAGATTAATTTCACTGAGGGTGGAGATCTGGCTTCATAATATGATGACAGACCTTGTGTTATATATAGCTCAGTGGTAGAGCACTTGTCTAGCATGTTTGATTTCCAACACCCCCCCCCCCAAAAAAAAATAACACTGGCTGTAGTGGCTCAGTTGTAGAGCACTTGCCTAGCATGTGTGAAGTACTGGGTTCGATCTTCAGCACTACATAAAAATAAATAAATAAAGATATTGTGTCCATCTAAACTAAAACAATTTTTTAAAATATTTTTAAAAATTAACAGAATTATGGTGATAATAACAATAATGCCAGTAACAGCTTCTATATGGCAACTGCTATGACCAGGCCTGTGCAAACTCTTTTCTGTGAATCACATTTAATACTTACACTAATCTGTGAAATAGGTACTGCTATTATCTCCATTTTACAGTTGAGCACACTGAGGCATAACAGATCAGGGTCATGGGCTGGGGGTGTAGCTCAGTGGTAGATGCTTGCCTAGCATGAGGCCCTGGGTACCATCTCTAGCACCACACACAAAAAAATAATAATAAAATAAAGAAAAATAAACAGAGTCCCTTAGAGCTAAGGCCTGTTTTCCTTCCTTCCTTTTATTTATTGTATTTACTTATTTTGTAGTGCTGGGGCTAGAATCCAGGGCTTCACACATGCTAAGTCCATGCACTGCCACTGAGCTATACCCGCAGCCCTATATCATTGTTTGGCATTTCTATGGGGGAGAATTCCCTTCCCCCACTCACCACTGTCATGTTACCCAGATGGGGCTCTCATTCTGGGCTGTGCACTGGAATGACCTAAACCACTTAGGCCAGCCAGGCACAGTGGCACATACCTGTAATCCCAACAACTTGGGAGGCTGAGGCAGGAGGATTAGAAGTTGGAGATTAGCTAGAGCAATTTAAGGAGACCCTGTCTCAAAATAAAAAGGGCTAGGTGGTTATGGCTCAGTGTTAGAGCACCCATGGCTTCACTCCCCAGGACCACACACGCGTGCAAACAAAGTCATGCCCAGGTCCTACTCTAGTCCAACAATTTCAGAAGTGCTGGGTGGGCCTAGGTTTGGTATAGCGAAAAAGTCTCCAATCAATGTCTGGCCTGGCCTGGCCTGAAAACCACTGCCCAATAGGATGTCAGTTTTAGAGATTGAACCAAGGACCTCATACACTCTACCACCAAGCACATCCCTAGCCCTGTTTAATTTTGTTTTAATTTTGAGAGAGGGTCTGCTAAGTTGCCCAGGCTGGCCTTGAATTTGGCAATCTTCCTGTCCCAGCCTTCTGAGTAGATTATAGATGTCTGCCACCATACCCAAGAACAGAATGCTTTTTAATTGTACTATTTATCTTCTTCTTTTTTTTTTTTTTTTTTTAGAGAGAGAGTGAGAGAGGAGAGAGAGAGAGAGAGAGAGAGAATTTTTTTAATATTTATTTTTTAGTTTTCGGCGGACACAACATCTTTGTTGGTATGTGGTGCTGAGGATCGAACCNTCTTTGTTGGTATGTGGTGCTGAGGATCGAACCCGGGCCGCACGCATGCCAGGCGAGCGCGCTACCGCTTGAGCCACATCCCCAGCCCCCTATTTATCTTCTTTAAGAAATCTTCTATATAGATATATATATTTACTTTTTTCTTTTACTTCTAGTATATTCTTTTTTTAAAAAAATATTTTTTTTTAGTTATTGATAGACCTTTACTTTATTTATATGTGGTGCTGAGATTTGAACGCAGTGCTTCACACATACCAGGCAAGTATGCTACTGCTGAGCCACAACCCTAGCCCTTCTAGTATACTCTTAAGTTTTTGCGCACTTCCCCCATCCTCTGCCTTCCCTCCTCCTGCCACTTCAGCCCTCCCATTGCCACAGCAAGGATGGTGACAATAGGCATCTTTCCACATGTGTTCTCTGCCCTCAAGTCCCACATGTTGAAGGAAGATCATTGTTTTACAGAAATTCTCCCCCCCCAACCCCCACATCTTGTTTACATCTCAAGTTTATCCCCAGAAGATGTCTTGTGGAATCTCACCCCCAGGTTACCCATAGTAGCTGTACCTCATTCTCTTTAGTAACTTTAGTTTTCCACATGGTGGACAGACTGAGATTTGTACAGCCACTTCCTTTCTCTGTGCCTGTCTTGGCACCAGCTCTTTAAGAGATGCTTAATGAAAAACTAGTTGACAAAACCCTAGAGGCTCCCGTTTGTGTCTACTGATACGGTTTCTGAACCCTCATGAAAACACACAGCAGCTGTATTTACAGGTGTATGCTATCCTCTTAACACTGGATTTCATGCCAGGCATAGTGGCACATGCCTTTCATGCCAGGTATTTAGGAGACTGAGGCAAGAGCTTGAGCCTAGGAATTCAGGGCCAGCCTGGGCAACATGGTAAGACTTCTTCTAAAAAAGAAAAATCAATTTCATGAACCTTAAAAAGAACTCAGGTGTGGAGGTGGGGACACAAGACTGGCCTGCTGCTGGCCCCCTCCTGGATCAAAGACTGTGTCCCGACCTGCTTTGTCATCCTCTCCTCAGGGTGGTGGACAACGAGGGGACCCTGCAGCTGAAGAGAAGCTTTCCCATTGAGCAGAGCTCACACCCTGTGCGCAGCATCTTCTGTCCCCTCATGTCCTTCCGCCAGGGGGCCTGTGTGGGTGAGTCCCAGAGGGGCAGGGGGCCTGGGTGGCTAGGGAGGAATAGATACCAGGTCTGCTACTGTCCTGGTTCAGACATTACAACACCCTAATGCCATGACTTCCTGGGCTTCATGTCCTCTTATGTCCTGTCAGCCTCACACAGGAACTCACAGCTCCAAAAACTTTGAACACAGACCACCAAATAGCCCAGAAGCTTTCCAGCCTGAGACACAGGCTCCCAAACAGCCCAGAAATCTTACCTTATACACGTAGAACCCAAATCGTCAGATGACCTTCCATCTAGGAATGGTCCCCCTTTTCAAACCTCCACAAGCCATGCTGGGTCTTCACAACTCAGATACCTCAGGGCCTTCATACCCGCAGCACGCCAGTCATCCTGATGGCTTCTCCCTCTCACCTGGACAGTGACAGGCAGTGAGGACATGTGCGTGCACTTCTTTGATGTGGAGCGAGCAGCCAAGGCTGCTGTCAACAAGCTGCAGGGCCACAGTGCGCCTGTGCTTGACGTCAGCTTCAACTGCGACGAGAGCCTGCTGGCCTCCAGTGACGCCAGCGGCATGGTCATCGTCTGGAGACGGGAGCAAAAGTAGGGTCCTGAAAGCCCTGTGCTGTCCACCAACCCCCACCTCCTACCCTGGTCTTGCATTGTAAATAAAGTTTCTGTGGTTGTGCTGAGGGCCAGCTCCCAGGTCTGCCAGGGGGCGGCATGGGGGAGTGGGCATCTCTGGGACCCATGGTGGAAGGGGGTACAATTATTCATGCAGTGTTGTGTTCTTTCATTCAACAAGCACTTACTGAATGTCTGCTGTATCAGCCTTTTACGGTCATGCGTTCAACAGTATTGAGCACCAGCTGTGTGCCAGGAACTGTTCTAGGCCCTGAGGATACAGCTGTGACCGAAACTGACAGAAATGCCTGTCCTCATGTCCCTGTATCCTAATGGAGGCAAGCACACAATAGACAAAAGCATGGACAGTCCCCAACTTATGATGGTTCAACTAACGATCTTTCCACTTTACTACTTCTAAACTCTATGATGGTGAAAGGCATACCCATACAATCAGTCTGTTTTTTTCACTTTCAGTACAGTGTTCAGTAAGTAACATGAGTAGTCAGTACTTTATTATAACGTGGGCTTCGTGTTTGATGAATTTGCCCAACTGTAGGCTAATATAAGTGGTCTGAGCACATTTAAGGTAGGCTAGGCTAAGGTAGGATATGTGGTAGGTTAGGTGTATTAAGTGTATTTTCAACGTACGGTATTTTCAACTTACGATATATGTATCAGGATATAACTCTGTTGTAAATCAGGAAGCATCTATGTGTAATAAGTCAGCTAAAGATGTGAAGAAAAGTAAAGCAAGGAAGGGAGATAATCTAGGAGTTGGGGTTGCAGTCTTTTTGGTGATGTCATTAGGGAAGACATTCTTGATGGTATCAGTCCTGAATGAAATGAGGGGGAGCCATAGTGTGATAGAGAATATTCTCAAAGAAAAAATCCAGCACAAAGTCACTGGAGGGTAGAATGTGCCTGAAGGATCACTGTATAGACTAGAGTGTGAGAGTAGATGAGGTCAAACAGGCCAGGTGCTTGTAGGGGTTCATGGGCCATGATGAAGACCTTTGGCCTTTTTCCTGAGTGAAGGAGAAGTTGCCCGTTTTAAGCAAAGGAGGAACATTATCTGGTGACAGTGGAGGAGTTGAGTAGAAAATGCTGGGTTCTATCCTAGAGAGTTCATCATATTAGGCTACAGGACCCGGCCGGGTCCTCCAGGGCGCTGAGACTCTGCAAACCTTCCAACATGGTAGCCCCTGCCTGAGTGGGCCCCATACTTTTGCACTGGGCTGTTTCTCACAAGCAGGGAGTAGAGATGTTGACTTCTTGGATCACCCAGCTGGTGCAGAGATAACTATGGACCCTGAGACAGCTTGGGGCTCCTGCTGTGGGATGGAGGCAATGGGAAATCTCCCAGACCACTCCTTTCTCCTCCCATGCCCACCCAGGGCCCAGGGTTTGCCCTAGAACAGCTCAGAGACCAAAAAGTGATGTTCCATAAGGAACCCTGAGTAAGGAGAGATCACTTGGATTTTGACAGGGGGACAAATAACCTAAAACCCTTGTTAATGATCAGAGTGACCAGGAAATGTCAAAGAGGCTCTTGCTCCAGGTATTTCCTTCCCTTTGGCTCTGTATGCTGCCACATATATGACAATTTGAACTGTGGTTAATATCTTGGGACCTCAGGGACAGTCAACAGAGTCAGAGACTCCAATCTGGTGGCCCACCATTGCTGAGCTCCAGAACTAACCCCAGTCTGATTGGGAGAGGAAAATAATCTGTTCAATCTACTGATATTTGACAAAAAGATTTCTGATAACTTTCATCTGACAGACCTTAGGTAAACGGTGATAAGGTAGGGATATCAGGGAGCTGAGACACTCATGTACATGTGTGTATCATTGTCCCTAATACCAGTGGCAAGCTCAGTTAATATGCTAGGAGGACTCATAAGACCCAGCGTATGGTTGTATTCACGAATACTTTTTATTACCGAAAAAAAAATACAGAGCAACATTAGCAAAGAGATATGGTGCACAGGGCCAAGTTTTGGGGAGACTAGGCACAAGTTCCCAAGGGTCCTCTCCCAGTTGACTCATAGGATGTGCTCAGTTCTCCTAGTAATGGGGTTGTGACAACATGTGAAATGTTGCCAACCATGGAAGCTCATCAGAGACACAGGGGCCAGGGTTTTTGGGGTGGCTGGTCACAGAGACCCCCCTGCCTATCACACTGCCCCTTATCCAAATTCGACTCCCAAAAGGAAAGCAGGTGTTCAGCATGAACCACATTCCTTGTGCAAATAGTTGAGGCATAGCGAGCCATCCTTACTTTTAGAGAGTGGTGGGAATACTGAAATGTAAGTTCCAGACAGCAGTCAGAACCAGCCTTGAAGCAGGCCTTTCCAAGGATAGCGGTTCAGATCTGCCATGTTCACTCTTTCCTGCACTGTATGCAACACTAAATAGATACTCAGTTTTAGCCAAGGTCTCTGGATGGCAAGATAATTATGGAGAATCAGTTTTCTTAACTTCTTTTCTTCACACTCTTCATGTTTTATTGAATCTGGATTCAGGATGATTGGTCATGATTGTTGTGCATGATTTTGGGGGTTTCCTCCTTGTGAAATTTTTGAGGTGGCAGACTTGACATTTTACTTTAAATTCATCTTGTTGATACTTTTCTTGACTGAAAATCTAAGGGGAAATAAATACTGGACAAATAATAAAGAATAAAAAAATAATATTATTGGTCAAACTTGGGCCTCTGTTAACTTGTCCATAATCACTGTACCTCTGATTTGACATTAGATCTGGAGCTCTGTTAACCATTCCACCATCAATGCTACTCGCCTATTCCCTTACAGCCATGCCTCCATTAACTTGTCCATGCCCCTTGTCTGACTTTGAACTGGTGTGTAACTACTTAACCATCAAGATCCTCTCTGGTATGAGCCTGAAGGTGGGCTTTTATTAATTATTATCCAGCTAATCAATTACTACTGGTCAAGTCTCAAAACAGGGCTTCTATATGATATTCCACTAGCAACTGTCCTCTGAACTGACCTCGAACTTAGGCTTCTGTTAGTTATTTTGTGAGCAATGTCCTTTTGCTCTGAGGATCCTCAATCCTGACTTTGAATCTGAGGCTCTATTAGTTATTTCACTGTCAGTCCTCTTATGGTGTCAATTCTATCAACACCTCTATATTAACACTTGGACCATTAATAACCCGTGTCATCCACAATTAAGCCCAGGCCTCTTTAACTATTCTAACATCACTCTTTTGACCTAAAATCTGGGCATTTGTGTTTGTCGTGCTGGAGAATCAAACCCTGAACATTGCACATCACATGCTAAGCAAGCTCCTTACTACTGAGCTACATCCCCAGGCTCTGGGCATTTCTTTTCCTTCCTTCCTTCCTTCCTTCCTTCCTTCCTTCCCTCCCTCCCTCCCTCCCTCCCTCCCTCCCTCTTTTCTCTCTCTCTGCCCCCCACTTCCTTCCCTCCATTCTTCCATTTCTTTTCTTCCTTTTTTTCTTTCTGTACCAGGAATTGAACTCAGAGGTGCTTAGCCACTGAGCCACATCCCCAGCCCTTTTTATTCATTTTTGGTGATTGTTTGTTTGTACCAGGGATTGAACCCAGGGGCAATTAACCACTGAATCACATACCCTTTATATTTTATTTTGAGACAGGGTCTCACTAAGTTTCTTAGAGTCTCACTAAGTTGTTGAGGCTGGCTTTGAACTTTAGATCCTCCTGCCTCAGCCTCCAAAGTTGCTGGTGTTACAGGCATGCACCACCATGCCAGGCCTTTGGGCATTTCTTAATGTTTCCTCAACTGATACCTATCTATTATGACCTCAAACCCAGGTATTTAAAGACTACCACCATGAGTGTCCATCTGGCCTCTGCTTAAACTTGGGCCTCTATTAATGCTCCCACCATCTTTTATTTTATTTTTTGGCATTGGGGATTGAATCCAGGGATCCTGTACCACTAAGTGACTTCCCTGCCTTTTTTAATTTTTGTTTTGTGAGAGTCTCACTAAGTTGCTGAGAATGGCCTTGAACTTGTGATCATCCTGCCTCAGCCTCCTGAGTTGCTGAGATTACAGTCCTATGCCTCCATGCCTGGCAATGCTTCCAGCATCAAAACCCCTAATTTTACTTTAAACATTTATTTTTTAATTGTAGGTGGACATAATATCTTTATTTTTATGAGGTTCTGAGGATTGAACCCAGTGCCCCATGCATGCTAGGCAAGCGCTCTACCTCTGAGCCACCCTAATTTTATTTTAAACCTGAGTTTTTTTAAAACTCTTCTGTCAGAGTTTAAAACTCTAAACTCTAAACTCCAGTTTGGGACTCTATTTATGATTCCACCATCAATAACTCTTTGCCATCCAGGCATGGTGATGCATGCTTCGCAATCCCAGCTACTCAAGAGACTGAGGCAGGAGGACCTCAAGTTCAAGGTCAGCCTGGGCAACTTAGCAAGATCATGTCTCAAAAAAGGATAGGGTGTAGCCCAGTGATAGAGAACCCCTGGCTTCCATCACCAGTATGGGGGGGCTTTTTGCCAGACCCTTGAATCCAGTCCTCAGTGAATTCATGGTAAGTGCTCCTCAGGTCTGATACCTGAATTTGAGCCTCTGTTAACTTTTCCACCATTAGGCTTGGAATGTAGCTCAGTGGTCGAGGGCTTGCCTAGCAGGTGCCAAGTCCTGAATTCATTCCCCAGCAATGCAAAAAAAAAAAAAAAAAAAAAAAAGAAGAAGAAGAAAGAAAGAAAGAAAGAAAAAACTTTTCTGCACTCTGTGCTCTTCGGGCCTTGACCTCAGTAAACTAGTCCACTATTTATACCCTCTGATCTTGCCTCAAACCCTGGCCTTTATTTAATATTCCTCTATAACCTCTGCCTTGATCTGATATTGAACCTTGGGCACTGGTTACACTTGCAGTATCAATTCCCTATGGGCAGGCCTCAGACCTGTGTGCTTATTAACTATGCCATGGTCATTTCCCCCTGTTCTGACCTTGAACCTGAACTTCTGCAAACTATTCCACCATTAGAACCCTTTTGGCCTCCTCTAGAACTGAAATTCTGGCAGACAATTCTTTTTTCTGACCTTCAGCCTGGGCTTCTGGTTAATATCCTAGCACCAATTGGGCCTCTGCTTTAGCTGGATCTTTCTGAACTCTAAAACCATGAAGGCATCTCTGGTCTAATTTTGAACCCAGAGTCTATTAGCTTTATCTCTATCAACCCCCCCCCACCCTTGATCTGAATTTTCACATGGACAGCTCTTAACTAAACCAGCATGACAGGCCCTTCATTCATCAAAAACCCAGGGCTTCGGTTGGCTATTCCACCCCTGGTACCCTCTGCCCCAACCTCAAACCTAGGCTTCTCTAAACTATTCCACTATTATTGGTCCTCTGGTCTGACCCTGAATTGCAACTTCTTTTAACTTCTAACATCAAGTCCTCTGTTCTTATTTTGAACTATCCCCACCTCTTTGTTTTGACCTCTTCTGTTACCAAATCCACCATTAGTATCCTAGTCTACCTTAAAAAACAAATGTCTGTTTACCAGTAAATCATCCCTGCTCTTCTGACATGGCCTTGAAATCAGGCCTTAATTTGATAATCTAGTTTAAAGGCCCTTCTGGTTGCAAATCAAACCCAGATCTCTATTAATTTTTCACTCAAGAATGCCGCACAGGGTGGGCTGGGCTTGGGGCTCAGCAGTAGAGTGCTCGCCTAGCATGTTAGAGGCCCTGGGTTTGATCCTCAGCACCACATAAAATAAATAAATAAATAAATAAAGGTATTGTGTCCAACTAATATTTATATTAAAAAAAATGCCACACTGATCACACTTGGGGTTCTTTTTAACTATTCAACCTTTAGTCCCCTCAGGTCTTACTTTGAACAGACCATTTTAACTGTTAAACCATCAGTGCTCCATTGGTCTGACCTCAAGTGTGGTTCACTATTAACCACTACAGCATCAATGACCTTCTTGCCTGTTTTCAAACTGAGATTCCCTTTCAAAGTTATTTCACCTTCAATGTCATCCTGGTTCTTTTTTTTTTTTTTTTTACTCTTTTTTTTAAAAAAAGAAAACATTTATTTTTTAGGTGTAGATGGACACAACATAATGCCTTTATTTTTATGTGGTGCTGAGGATTGAACCTGGGTCCTGCCCATGCTAGGCGAGTGCTCTACTGCTGAGCCACAATCCCAGCCCATCATCCTGATTCTTTTTTTTTTTTTTTTTTTTTTTAGAGAGAGAGAGAGAGAGAGAGAGAGAGAGAGAGAATTTTTAATATTTATTTTTCAGTGGACACAACATCTTTATTTTATTTGTATGTGGTGCTGAGGATCGAACCCAGTGCCCCACGCATGCCAGGCGAACGTGTTACTGCTTGAGCCACATCCCCAGCCCCTCATCCTGGTTCTTAATGAATGCTCTTCCACTATCCTTACTCCTTACTTTCTGGTCTGATTCTTTTTCTTTCTTTTCTTTTTTTTACATTAAAAAAATTTTTTTTGGTTCTGGGGATTGAATTCAGGGGTTCTCTGCCACTAAACAACATCACCAGCCCTTTTTAATTTTCTTTTAAATTTTGAGTCAGGTTCTCACTAAGTTGCTTAGGTAGGCCTCTAAATTGGAATTTGCCTACCTCAGCCTCCAGAGTTGCTGGGATTACAGGCATGAGCCACCACACCTGGTTTAGTCAGTCCAATTTTTAGCCAGGACTTAAATGCTTACTCTTCCATAATCAAAAATATTTCCTAGCACAGTCAATTAACTCTTGCAAAATCTTTCCGATCCAGGCTTATCTTCAAACTCAGTTCCCTCTGGTTTAGCCCTGAACTGAATCCTCTGATGCTCCATCACCAGTGCTTTGAGTATCTGCTGTTGAACTTGTTCTGTTGTTATTGCTTCCAACACCAGAGTCTGAACTTCCCCAGGTTCTGTTAAATATTCCAT